CAAGGATTGTGGCCACTCTATAGGGATGCTCATCCGACATGGCATGAATCACCGAACCTGCACTTAGAAATAGTAATGCTTTAATGTTTTTAAAAAAAGGCGGTGGCCCGGTTTGAAAATACCAACTAACACTTTCTTTAAAAAATGCTGCCATTCTATCGAGATTTCAAAAGCAGCAAACATTAAAGAAAGAGATCAAAATGCGTTTTTCCTACTCAATCTTTTTTATAGAAAGAGCATTCGGGAGCATAAGCAAGTTTAGTAGTTTCAACCTCTGTAATCGATCGATGGGAACCTCGAAGCGGTGTCAGATTCCACAACTTTCTTCAATTGCAAAATATGGAACACAGGGTGGATGCAGGCCTCCGACGGTAGCTCCAACTTGTAGGCCACAATGGCCATATGTTCCAGGATGCGGTAAGGGTGCCAAAGAACTTCAGAGACAACTTTTCATTCTGTTTATTGGCTAGTGAAGATTGGCGGTATGGGCGAATATCGACGATGAACTCAGCCTCGGTGCGACGGCGATTGGTGAACATTTTCATGCACGCTTAGGCTACAGCTAGGTGTCCTTTAAGGAGTGCTAAGGTTGGGTCTCGCTCGAGAGCTATTGATCAATAGTAGAGTTGGAGGTGCACAATTCACCATAAATAGTAACGAAGGTGGGGGTCAGCCATAAACATGGAAGGGTGTTGTGCCAATAGAAATATGGAATGTGGTGTTATACCAATATTCCACCCATGCGATCCATGCTCCCCATTTTTTGGGTGGTAGGCCGTACTCAGGTATAGCTGAGTGCCCTGGAGACGGAATAATCCAATCAAGAAATGGCTAATGAAAATTTTGTCACAATCAGAGATGATCGACTAGGGAAACCCGTGCAGCCTCATGATTTCTCTTACAAAAATAGCAGCCACAGTTTTGGTTGTGAAGGGATGGCGAAGGTTGATGAAGTGAGCATACTTGCTGAGACGATCAACCACCATGATCGTGTCATGCCCTTCAGATCGTGGTAAGCCCTCTACGAAATCTATGGTGATGTCTTCCCAAATCTGATCGGGTGGTGGGTAGAGGTTGGAGCAATCCGATGAGGGAGGTGGGGAGCTGTTTGTTTTTCTGACATACTGTGCAGCGTTCAACATAATCCTTGATGGCACTCTTCATTTCAGTCTAGTATAGTTCTCTGGTGTGGTGCGTATATGTTCAGAGGAACCCCGAACGATCGACCATAATCAAATCATGGTAGGTGTGCAGGATGGTGGGTATCAGAAAAGAAGATTTTGGGAGGACCAAGCAGTTTTTGTATAAGAGAGTACCTTGTTGGAGCCAATATCGTGGGACGCTGTCGGGGTCGGCGGTCAGCCGTTAGATAAGTTGGGATAGGTTGGGTTCTGAGAGACCTTTGTTTTTACTACCTCCACAGTGAGAACGACTTGAACAGTCAACGGCCAAGTCTACTATGGGCAACATCCTGGACAGGGTGTCAGCAACATTATTTTCAAGGCCTGAGTAGTAATGGATTTCGAAATCTTACCCTAACAACTTGGAAATCCATTTATGGTATTTCGGTTGAATAACGTGCTGCTCGAGGAGGTGCTTCAGGGCTTGATGATCGGTTCAAAATAAGAATTTTTGAACCAAAAGGTAGAGCCTCAACTGTTGCACTGCCAAAACGTTTGCCATCAACTCCCGTTCGTAAATGGACTTTGTATGGGTGCGGTTTGCACCCACCTTCTCTGGGTCAGCTTCACTGCCTGAGCGGATACCCAATGTCCTAGTTACTCGATCTTGTCCTTCGCAAACTGACATTTGGAGACGGTTGGCTTATAGTTGGTTGTCACAGAGCATATTGAAAGCCACGGCCAGATGGGTGATATGTGTGCTGAGATTCGGGCCGTACACAAGAATATCGTAAAAAAAAAAGAACAAGTATGAATTTACTCAAGAAAGGACGTAAGATGTTGTTTATCAATACTTGGAAAGTTGGGGGGGCATTTGTTAACCCAGACGACATGATCAGGAACTCATAGTGTCCTCATAAGTTCTGAAAGCTATCTTCGCTATATCCGCCATGTGAACTTGGATGTGATGGTACTCCAACTTTAGGTCGATCTTTGAACAAACCTGAGAACCATGTAACTCATCAGCAATTCCTCGATGGCAAGGATGGAGAACTTATACAGACCATGACGCTGTTGAGGGTGTGGTGATCCACGTTAAACCACCAAATCCTATCTTTTTTCTTTACAAGAAGTATCGGGATCGTATAGGGACTAATGCTTGTTCATATCACCCCTGCGGTCAGTATCACGTCGATCAAGTGCTCAATGTCGGCCTTTTGGATGTGAGGGTAACGGTATGGTCGAACATTGATGGGGCTTGGCCTTTCGGTTACTGGATCCAGTGGTCGACACTGCTCTGTGGGGGGAGGCCCTGGGAAGGGTGGAGAACATTGTTGTATTCATTCATTCTCAATGGCGTCGATATGTTGGTGTGCGGGTGTTGAACTTTCATCAGCGGTGACCCTTGTGTTGGCTGTCTGAGCTCGGAATTCCACCAGAAACCCTTAGTCTTGGGTGTCCCATGACTTCGTCATTGCCTTCAGTGATATCTTCGCCTTCGTCAAGGTTGGATTTCCAAGTAAGACCATCCACACATCCTTGTGTCTGAATGTCATGGTCAGAGCTTTCCAGTCCATTTCCAGGAGGTCCAGCGTTTGGAGCCACCGGATATCGAGGACCACGTCCGTACCTTTGACTCATGGGAAGAAAGTTCTCCACCATCACCAACTCAGTGAGATTCAAAACGACTATGGGGCAGATACCTCGTCTCGGAACGACAATTCTTGTGCACATGATGACACCACAGTTCATCGTCTGTGAGCAAGGGAGTTTCAGGCTGTCAACGACCGTCTATGCGATGAAGTTATGGGCACCCTGCAGTATATCAACACAATCACCTCCTCTTGTTCGATGTGGCCACGAACTTCCATAGTTTTCGGCATCGAAAACCCCACCACATATTAAGAGAGAGCTCAACGACTTCCCCTACCTCTACGGTCTGCATTACAAGGGTTTCTTCGATTTTCAGATATGATTCCACTCCACCTGATCTACCTAGTTGTGGACCAACAAAATGCTAAGTTCCTTGCTCTTGCACCAATGCCCCATTATGTACTTCTTCTCGTAGCGAAAGCACATGTCATTTTCATTTCGTGATTGAAGTTCTATATTGATAAGGCATTTAAAGTGATTCTCCCTCTTTGGTGAAGGGTTGTGGCTGGAAAACGTGACAGTACACATGGGGTAGGGTTTCAGCCAACATAGGGGCAGACCTATGCAGGGAACACATTGGGCTTGGGGTTAACTGGGCTGGTTTGTGCAGGTATGGAATGGGCTGGCCCGATCTTACAGGTTTTGGCTTGCTCCTAATTTTCGATGAGCTAGGTTGTCCGCATCACTTTCTCAAGCTCAACAGGCTCCCAACAGAGGACCTCTGCCCTAATGATGTCGTCCAATCCATTATGAACGTATTTTCAAGGATCTCCTTCGATAAGTGTGGCAGTGGCACGGGCAATGCCTGGAAGGTTTTCAAGTACTTGGCGACTGTCGCCTCCTATTTTACTGAGAGCAAACGAATGCAGAGGCTCTGGTCCTGGGCTATCCCAAGACCGGCGTGCAGTTGTTTCGTAGATCCTCCCAACCTTTGAATGGCAGGCGTCCCCCTTCGTTCCATCACTACCAAGCTAAGGTAGCTCTGTTGAAGCTAACCACGACCACCGTAGCTTTTTCCTTGTCTGTTAGCCTATTGAGTTCGAAATATTGTTCTACACAAAATATCCAAGCATCAAAGTCATCGTCGTCGAAGATGGGCATCTCGATCTTTCTGAACTTATTGTGGTCGTACATTGCCTCCTTTGTTCTTCCGGTGTGTGCTTCTCGTTTTGGCCTGGTGCTGCATAGTGGGGAGTCTCTTGTTTCATTTGGAGGCCTTCTCTTTGGTGTGGATCCATCCACAACACTCGAACTTGGGGATTTAAGCTTTCTCGCTACCAACTCAGTTGCTATGGCCTTCAATGTCTTCTGTGTTTCCTCATCTTTACGTTGTTGTTCTTGAGCTTTGGTTGTCAACTGGTTCGCGGTCTCACGAATTGAGTTATCGAGCTTTCCATCATTGGTAGATGACCTAGCTCATTCTTGATACACCCGATTTCCTTGTCTATGAGTTTCATACGTTCTTCCCATTTTTTTGAGCCATTTCTCTGATACCAATTTGTAAGGAATCATCTTAGAAAACAACTTGACATTCAAATAGAAAAGATCCCGTGGGCTTAAAAAAGTCTCTCTCGCCAAATTGAGAGGGTTGGAACTCTCCCTACACCAATCTTTCCCAAACTAAACAAAACATGTCCTGCCATACCAGGAACCCAAAGCATAAAAAGACCAACTAACTTGAGGAAGGTGAATTTCCCTCTTTGCCCCTCCTAAAATACTTATTAACAATTTGGGGCCTTACAAAATACTACAAATTTTGAACCAACTGACGAGGCCATGCTGCCTGTCAAAAAGGGTAATCTACTGATTCTTTGTTGTTGCCACTGCCTGTCAAAAAGGGTAATGTACTGATTCTTTGTTGTTGCCACAGTTATAGCAAACCTAAGGGCACAAAACCAAGTGGTAATTTTTCTTTTGGACTCTATTTTAAGTGTTCAAGTCTTGTAAGCAAGAGTCCAAAGGAAACATTTCACTTTCTTAGGCACCTTGACCTTCCAAATATAATCAAGAAATCATCTATCTTCTTACCTTTTGAGGTCATTAGAATGGTACTCTGGGAGCATATTTAGTACTAGTCTCTTCTTCTGTACATTTCATAGTAGATGTCAATACAATATTTATCTCTCTAGCTATCCGCCGAAGTGAGTGACATATTTTTGCATTTATAGTATGTTGAAACATATTAATGACCTTCAACTTGCAATGTGCCATTTTTTTATGGTGTAGGCTGAGACTGATCGGGAGGCCGGAGGAAATAAAGGTGTCTCAGACAAGCAAATTCGTCTGAAGATCTTTTCACCAAATGTTCTTGATATAACTTTGGTTGATCTTCCTGGTATAACTAAAGTTCCAGTTGGAGATCAACCTTCTGATATTGAAGCTCGCATTAGGACAATGATTTTGTCATACATTAAAGTTCCAAGCTGTTTGATTCTTGCTGTTTCACCAGCAAATTCAGATTTAGCTAACTCAGATGCTCTTCAGGTTGCCGGAAATGCTGATCCTGATGGTAAGTTATTTCACAGAATTTACTCCATGAACTAGCACTTTATTCCCATCTAACTCATGCATTTCATGTGTGTTCACAGGTCTTAGAACGATTGGGATAATCACAAAGGTGATCCATAATTTTACCAAGCATATTTTTATTTTGTAGATGAAATCAGTTTCTGATGGTTCTCTTCCCCATAATTGCAGCTAGACATAATGGATAGAGGCACTGATGCACGGAATCTTTTGTCTGGAAAAGTTATTCCCTTGCGACTTGGCTACTTTGGTGTTGTGAATCGAAGTCAGGAGGTAATTTCAAACCTATGGGGATGCTAACTTTTTGTAAATGATGTTTAATTCTTTTTTAACCTTTTTTTTTTCTTCTAGGTACACCTTAGTAGTCAGCTTTGGCTTGGAGTTTTTTCATTTTCTTGATTGTTTATCTTTATTTTAAGTCCTCCACAACAAAGAAGGAATAATGATGACCACTGATGCTATTTTGTCTTATGATCATTTTGATGTACATGTACCTTTTATTTATGGTGCTATGTTTCTGATTAGGTTTATTGATTTCATTTCCAAACTAGGATATTTCACACAACCGGAGTATTAAAGATGCACTTATAGCTGAGGAGAAATTTTTTCACAGCCATCCAGTATGATCATGCTATACCCTTGTTATGGAATGGAGAAGCCGTTTTGAACATATTTTATTTATGGTTTTAGCTGTTACTTAGGTATATGATGGTCTGGCTGATCGTTGCGGTGTTCCTCAATTGGCAAAGAAGTTGAACCAGGTATTAAATTTGGGCATTTAGATGTGGGTTTATATTTGCTTCTAGCTGATGAACTAGGAGAGCTACTGCCCTTTCTCTCTGGCTCTCTCTCTCTCCAACATTCTCCTTCAATTTGATTGATTTTTAAATTTATTCTATTTGATTGCCTTTTTTTAGCAGTCATTTAATTAAGCTCTTGAAGTTTGGATCAAATTCTATGAAATTGTTATTAATTTGACTTTATAATCACTTTTTGAAGATTTTGGTGCAACAAATCAAGGCAATTCTACCTGGGTTAAAGTCACGCATAAACTCTGCACTAGTTTCAGCTGCCAAGGAGCATGCCAGTTACGGAGAAATCATGGAGTCAAAGGTGTATATGATTGCCAAAGATTATTTTTATTGTTGAGATTTTTTACAGTCAAAAAGTATTTCGTCTTTCTTGAGGTTCTTTTATTATCATCCATAATGAATTACTGAAGGTCTAACATTGCATTTTGAGTCTTGTAAAGCCATGGTGTTGTTGATGTTAATGCATGCAATTCTAGAGCAAATGTACTCTCCGTCTGTTGCCTTTTTCCTTGACAACTTTCTCTATCTGTATCCAGAAAGCTAAAGTGTCTCCTTGCTTCTGTTCTATTTTTGCTACTGCAACCTTAGTTTAGTTAATAATTCACTCTGCTCGATGTTGGCTGATGGTTTCATAACTGTTAACTTTGTGCTACCATTAGGCTGGTCAAGGTGCTCTTCTTCTGAACATTTTATCAAAATATTGTGAAGGTAAGTGTGACTTCACCTGCTTCTCTTTTCTTTGCATGTGAAACCCACAAGCAGAGCTATGTCATATACGGTGCTAGCTATTATCTGCTTTATTAGAATTGAACCATATAACTGTTGCTGCAAACAGCATTTTCATCTATGGTTGACGGGAAGAATGAAGAAATGTCAACATCTGAGCTCTCGGGTGGAGCTCGTATTCACTATATCTTTCAATCAATCTTTGTGAAGAGTTTAGAGGTACATGTGGCTTCATTTTGTAATTGTAAATTTTCATGATTCAAGTCCCTGTTACTGACTTTTCATGGAATAATTAACTTTCGGGGTGTGGCAAGGGAATTGCACGTGCTAACCTAAATTCTAAACCTGTTAGTTGCATAGGGAGTTTGGCCATCGTTTCCCCCGTGTGGACTTTTCATGGAATAATTAAAACAAAACCATCAGACTCGCACTTAATCATAGTGTACCATCCCATTTTTAGTTCATTTGATTGGATGAGCTGCTTGCTTATGCTATCACTAACACTTTCATTAGGCAACGCTAATAATGATTTTTACTCGTTGAGTAAATTGAAGAATAATGATTGATAAATATTTCAACTCAATATAGTTGCAAGTTTTGAAATTAGCTTCCTTCTATGATGATAAATCTTTTGAAGGATTCACAGTTGGTAGGGATTGGCTTTCGGGATTAAAAGTGGATTGGGATAAATCTTTCTTGAGCGGGGACAAGGTCAATATTGATTCCCAAAATGTTGCAACAATGGCCATGAAGTTAAATTGCAAAATTGAATTCCTGCCCATTTTATATCTTGGGCTGCCTTTGGGAGGAAATCTGGAATCTGCAGATTTTTGAAACCCTATAAAATAAAAATTATGAAAAAGCTTGCAAGATGGAAGAAGTATCAACTTTCAAGAGGGCAGTAGATTAACTCTTTTCAAATCGGTCCTTGGAAGCATCCCTTTGTATTACTTTTCGATATTCCAAATGCTGAAACTAAGAAAGCAAGTGAAGAAGTGCCTAAGAAACTTTTCTGGGGTGACAATCCGAAAGGTTCCGTGAATCATCTTGTTAAATGGAATATTGCATCTCTATGCCAAGAATATGGCGAATTGGGTATTGGCAATCTTACTTCAAGGAATCATTGTTGACTAGATGGGGCTGGCAGTTCAATGTGGAACCTTCTGCCTTATGGAGACAAGTAGTGGCAAGCATCTAGATTTGATTGGATCGTTTATGGAATGAAACATTTTCGCATAGACGACGTAAAACATATATTAGACAATCTCGAAATGGAAAAGAATTTTYCATAAATTTTAAATCCATTGGATTTTTTTTTTTTGTAGAAAAACTTTAGAAAAAAAAGAGGAAAATTAAGTTTGAATCTTTAACGGAATCCGTATACTCAAAATAAATAAAAATATTAGTTAAATATGTGTGTATCTAGGGGGTATTCCTTTAGCATTTCGTCCAAGAGAAAGAGTTCCTCTAATTCTATAACTTTTTTTATAATACTCTTTTCTTGAATATCATTAAAAAAATTTCAGATTGCCCAGTATTCCACCAATTAGTAACCCAAGATTCTAGGCTTTTATTAAATGAAAGAGTGATCCACCAAATACTATAGATGCAAGATATAGAAGGGGAATGAACTCTTTCTTTTTTGCCATTTTTTCGTCTTTTATTTTTGGGAGCAGTTGCTGTCATTGGTTTAACAATAAAAAAAAGTGGCAGCTAGTAGCAAAACATTCTCTTCAAGGTTAGGAATAGTAAACACATCCTATTTTGGCACCATCTATGGTTGGGGGACTCTATTCTAAGGGACCAATTTCCTTCCCCGTTTCGGGTTTCTTCTTTCCCTTTCACTTCAGTCTAGGAGGCTTGGGATCCATCCTCTTCTTCTTGGAGAACTGAAACAAGACAATATCTGAAAGATGAAGAATTTGATGAATATTTAGTACTCTTATCATGTTTAAATTCAGTTGTCCTGCTCGAGGATGATGATCAGTTGATATGGAGTTTGGATTCTTCAAGGTCATTTTCGGTTAGCTCATTATGCAGGCCTAGGAAGTCTTATTTCTTGCTATCAAATGATCAATGCTTTAAGTTGTGGAAGTTGGGCGGCCCTAAAAGGGTTAACATCTCTTGGATTCCCATTAATGGAAAGGTCAACATGGTAGAAGTTCTTCAAAAGAAAATTCCAAATATGCATATGCAGCCACCATTTGTGTGCTGTGCATGACAGATTGCGAATTCCAGGTGCATACCTTCTTTTCTTGTCCATATGCAGTAGCTTTCTCTTGGGTGCTGGATGTGGATGTCTCGAAGATAGTTACTCAGCTGCTGTTCGGTCCATTTTTGTCTCCTAAAGTGAGGCTTCTTTGGGTGCATGGGGTCAAAGCTCAAATAATTTTCGAGGAAAAAAGAAGACCTTCGATGGAGTGTTTCAGTTTGGCCAAATTTGGAGCATTTCAATGGTGAGCTGTATCCAATGATAATTTTAATTGGGGGGCTTTCCTTTTCCCTCTTTAGATATGTATAGGATGTCACTCTATATATTTTTTTCTTTTTGGTATTTTAGCTGGTATCTTTTTGACTTTTTTGCTATTTACTTTTATTCACTCTCTTGGGAGTTTGTATCTTTGAACATTTTCTATTCCTTTTCATTTTTCAATGAAAACTTCATTTCTTGTTTTAAAAAAAAAAGTGCTTTACGGAGAAGAGTAATTGTCAGGTGGATGACCCGCCCCCCCAAGAGGGAAAGCTCTAGGCAGGCCTTGGTTCGACATTACAAAATTGAGTGAGACTTTCCTTAGTTTTGTGAGTTTCAAGGTAGGGAACGGGCTTAGAATTCGCTTTTGGCAGGATGTTTGGCTCAAAGATTATGCTTTACAACACCTTTTTTCAGATCTGTACAATTTGACTTTAAAGAAGGATGCAACAGTGGCTGATTGTTGGAACGAAGCTCAATCAGATTGGAACTTGAAGTTTAGAAGGGGTTTTCGAGACAATGAAGTGGACAGTCTGCTATATCTGATGGAACTGTTATATGCCTTTCGTTTTGGTAGGGAGGAAGACAAGATGCTTTGGACTCTCGATACAAATCTGTCCTGTCCTCTACCAAGTCCATGTTCCAAAAGCTTACTGAGTGTTCTCCAAGAATCAAGGTCCCTTTGATAAAGTAGATTGGAAGCTCAGCTCCCCAAAGAAGGTCAAAGTGTTTTTATGGAGTTTAGCTCACAGAAGCTTTGGATTCTCGATACAAATCTGTCCTTCTCTACCAAGTCCATGTTCCAAAAGCTTACCGAGTGTTGTCCAAGAATCGAAGCCCCTTTGATAAAGCAGATATGGAAGTTCACCTCCCCAAAGAAGGTCAAAGTGTTTTTATGGAGTTTAGCACATAGAAGCACCAACACACATGACACCTTGCAGAAGAAGCTTCCATTCTGTTCACTTTCTCCTTTGGTGTCTTGTTTTTGTTACAAGAATTCTGAACAATTGGATCACCTCTTCTTACACCGTCCCTCTGCCTCAGAATGGTGGTCATTTTTTTTCACAGTTTTCGGCTTTGTGGGCTGCAGGCCTAGGGCAACAGAAGACTGGCTTCTGGAGATTCTTCGGGGCTACCCCTACAAAGGGAAAGCTAAGATCCTATGGGGCTGTGCGATAAGGGCTTTTTTGTAGAACTTATGGGAAGAGAGAAACAACCGGGTCTTTAACAACATGTCTCGCTCTTTTGATTCTTTTTGTGAACGTGTACAAATTAATGCTTCCTCTTGGTGCTTAAACCACAATGTTTTTTTTCTTTTTGAACAAGATACGAACTTTTCATTGATAAATGAAAAGGAACAAAATTGTTCAATGATACAAACTACCTTAGGAGTGAAAAAAAAAGAAATAAAAAGCCACCAACATAAGAAACCTCAATAAAGGGGAGTTATAAATGTCTCCCAATTCATACAAAGCATACTAGGAGAATAAGAAGAAAAGAGATTGGAATGAACACACCATTGTGAAGCTTCGTATTTGGCTATTGAGAAGCACTCCAATGGAGAACAATTCTTGCCTTCAAAGGACCCTTTGATTTCTTTCAAACCACAGTTCAGAGAGAAGGGCTTTAAGCCCGAAAGCCCAAAGTAGATTGGCTTTTGAGTTTACTCGCAAACCAATAAGAAGCTGCAATATTATGTTAGAAACCTCCAAAATCCCATTCCCATGAGACTTCAAACAATGTTAAAAAAAATTCTTCCAGCAAACCTCCGCAGAAGCCGAATTTCCAGATTTGCACAACAAATGAATAGATAATAAGTCTGAGGCCTCCAAGCTCTATACTCGAGAATCATCTGAATCATTGAGGGATATAGGAGAGAGTAAGGATAATAGATCGGCCAATTCAATGACTACCTCATCCTTCAAAGAACGCCTAGTAGGTAGCCTCCAAGAAGAACCAATGCTATCCCAAGCATCCGCAACCGCAATGAAAGGATCAGAAGAGATCCTAAAGACGGCTGGAAACCTATCCTTCAGCCAAACAGTTCCCATCCATGGATGATGCCAAAACTGATTCCTTTTACCATTCCAATTTGTAAATGGGAAAACGACTCCACTTGCTTCCATGCTTTGGATATATTACTCCAAGGACTTGTACCCGAACCTGCCGACTTAGGTAAAGTACACCAGCCACCAAAATCAGATCCATAAATACTAGCCACCACCAACCACCGTCGTCTTCGCCGGCC